GCCGCGCCAAGGCACCTCTTAGGACCGCACTATAAGAAGTGCCTTGGCGCGGCTGTGTGGCTTTCACATTTTCTGCAGAAGACGTGTATCCAAACCTCTGTTATTGACCTTAGTGGTGAGACAAGTTGTTTTACATGCTGGTTTGTGAGTGTGCCATGATGCTTTTCTACTGTTTACCCGACGTGACCCTGTCTTCTATATTTTACCAAGAAATTGGAGTGATAATAAATGTTTCAGAAAATGTCATAGGGAAACAGTTTTTTTTCCCCAAAAATTTAGGGTACTTTTTTTTGTTATATAGTTAAAAATAAAAAAAACCCCAGTGGTGATTAAATACCACCAAAAGAAAGCTCTGTGTCTCCAAAAAATGGTATAGAATTAATTTCAGTACAGCGTTGCATGACGGAATAAATGTCAAAGTACTGCAGCGCTGAATACTGAAAAGTGGCCTGGCTAGGAAGGGTGTTTAGTGGTTAAATATGCATTTCTTTAATGTTTGCAAAAGGTGAACTTAACCTTTAAAAAAAAAAAAAAAAATACACAGGGGTGAAGTTCATGGTGGCTACAAGGACTACTGCATATGTGTGCAGTGTGTACTGTCAGTAGGCTAAAGCCATGGTCCTTTAGACCACGCCCCAATGCCTTGCGCCATTTAGCCACACCCACTTTGACTGCTTTTCAGCTAGTCCCTCTTTCTCATTTTCTGATTTCGGCATATATGGGCCATGTATACTTACTTCGGCACTTCAGAGATAAAATGACGGACAAGCAAAGGACTAGCAGTGTAACTTTGAGCGGTAATGCTTTTGTGGAAACTTTGCAGTGTTCCCTTTTGAGACGTGACGTCATTAACATGCGGCCGCAACCCTCCCCCCACGTGTGATGCTCTCTGTGTGGAGTAGGAAAGTACAGCTGCTGTCAGGGGTCAGATCTCAGCTGCTGTGCGCTGTCCCCATGTCGGCAAAGAGAAAAGATCCCGATGAACAGGATAGGAAGTGCCGTGGCAGGAGAAGGAAGAAGCAGCGAGGAGACGATGCCGAGGAGCGCTATGTGCCGCCGCCTACAAAGCGGAGACTCGGTGTGAGCTTCGGAGAGGAGCATTTCCGGGAGGCCGAATCCTATGTGGAGAATGGGCTGCGCAAAGTTCGCCCCTATTACTTCGATTTCGAGACGTACTGCAAAGGGCGCTGGGTGGGGAAGAGCCTGCTGGAGGTGTTCAGCTCGGAGTTCCGCTCGGAGCCTCTGGAGTACTACAAGCTGGCTGCTCAGGCTGGGAGACTAAAGCTCAACAAGGAACTGGTCACAGATCTGAATACTGTGCTCAAGGTGGGGTTCTGTACAGGGACCGGGGTGTACATGGCTGCGAACCCTTTACAGGAGGGGTTGTGTACATGGCTGCCAACCCTTCACAGGAGGGGTTGTGTACATGGCTGCCAACCCTTCACAGGAAGGGTTGTGTACATGGCTGCCAACCCTTCACAGGAGGGGTTGTGTACATGGCTGCCAACCCTTCACAGGCGGGGTTGGTTCTGTACAGGGATCGGAGATTACATGGCTACTAACCCTTCACAGGTGGGGTTCTGTACGGGGACTGGGAGTGTACATGGCTACTAACCCTTCACAGGTGGGGTTCTGTACGGGGACCGGAGTGTACATGGCTATTAACCCTTCACAGATGGTGTTCTGTACGGGGACCGGAGTGTACATGGCTACTAACCCTTCACAGATGGTGTTCTGTACAGGGACCGCTGCTGGCTAGTGTGAACAGGCCCTTATTAAGTTAACTGACACTGCTAAATTTGGTCTGGACGTCTAAGCTCCAATGACCTGATCATTCATATTACAATTACTGACCTATAATTCTGCATTATTTATTTGGAAATTCGAAGAAATGTGTTGTGGAATTTTGTGGACTGTGTGTTGGTGTTCCCTGCGATTTCTGCTGGTGATTAGCTTGTATATCTTTTACTTCTTGCTTTCCAGGATAATGATTTTCTGAGGAACACAGTCCATCGTCATGAGCCTCCAGTCACTGCACAGCCGCTACGTATCATAGCTGAGAGTGATGAGATTGTAGCAGTGGATAAGCCTCCATCCCTTCCAGTGCATCCCTGTGGCCGCTTTAGACACAATACTGTCATTTTTATTCTGGGGAAGGAGCACAATCTGAAGGACCTTCACACCATCCACCGACTTGATCGCATGACCTCAGGCGTGCTTATGTTTGCCAAAACTCTTGAAGTGTCCAAGAAGATGGATGAGCTAGTACGTGGAAGACTGGTGAGTCAGAAGAATTTCTTGATGCTTCTTGTTTACCAAGGAAGTGCAGTTATTGATTGACGTAGGCTACTGGGCCTTGCAGATCATCACTAAGAAATCTGTTTTTACTGACAAGACTGTCACTTGACATCTCGGTATCTATAGGTTACTATTCTCTGTTAATAAACAACCTTCTTTGCTGTGTCTTATTGAATAACATTGATTTGTAATATCTGGACAAGCTGTCAAGTAGGGCTGCAACAGCTAATCGATAGAGAATAGTTGGCAACGATTCTCATCATCGATTAGTTGGGGGGCATTTTTTAATACAACCAATGGATTAGTTAAAAAAATAATCGGGTAACTAATTGATTATTAAAATCGTTAGCTGCAGCCCTACTGTCAAGGACATGTAGCTAAAAGGACCCCTTTGTCAGTCCCAGCAGACTCCTAAAAGAATTCTGTTTCTTAAATGGCCCCAGATGTAATGCACCAGGGCATAGGTGTAGTCCTCCACGCCTATATTAACCCCTTCATGACTGAGGCCCTTTTTTCCATTTTTGCACCCATGTTATATTCCACATTACTGTATCAAACTGAATTGGGTGGTTAGGAAATGGAAATCCCGTGCGGACGATCGTATTGCGGCCGGAGGGCATGGCTACAGTGACATTCACTTTAATGGGCCGCCACGCCCCGCAAAAAAGTGAGCCGGCCACAATGCGATGCAGTGCATTCGGGCCAGAACACACTGCATCTGGTGTGAACATACCCTAAGATGGCAACAGGCTGGAGGAGATCAGTTGCTTTGAGCTGCAAAATGGATGGGAACATAATGAGAACAGTATATGATAAACAAAACATGACAAATGATTGATAAACAGCGCTTTAGCTAACTAAATGTCATGTACTTTAAAGTGACGCTAAACTGGGGAGTGAAATCTTTAAAATGCATTTGAGTAATGTAACTATTAACAAAAATGTAACTTATTTGCATATCACTCAGCTGTAGATCCTCAAATCATCTGAGTTCATGCTGACACTGTCCTTCCTTCTGGAGGGTGGCTACTTTTGTTCCCCATGGTCCCTGTGTGTGTTGTACAGGAGTCAACTCTCCAAGCTCACTCCCGTGATAGACTACAATCTCATGTTTAATTTTCTCCTGTGATGGATTGTAGTCCATCACAGGAGCGAGCTTGGAGCGGTGACTACTTTACAACACACACAGGGACCATGGGGAACAAAAGTAGCCACCCTCCAGAAGGAAGGACAGTGTCGGCTCCAATGCAGAGATGATGTGAGGATCCACAGCCGAGTGTAGAGTGGACTGAGCCTGTAAAGAATATACATTTTAGTCATTTTTTTAAATTTTTCTTTTTTTAATTAAAGTGTTCAGTATCAGGTTAATAGTAATTTTGGTACTGGTGTTTATACAATCCCACAGACAATGAGAAGTCATATTCGCACATTGCATACTCTGGCTCTTCCTCCATATTTGTGTCCTGACTGTTTCATTTTCAGTAACGGACATTAGCTGTTATTTTCAGTCTGCTGGCCCTTCCTTGCTTTCACTTTTACTTTATTATCCAAACTAGTTATATTGGTATTGTCCTTTTGTGGTGTTATTGAGAGTATTGCTACCATTTTTGTTAGAAATTAATTATTTTTCTTTTTGTATGATTTTTAGGTGGAAAAGCAGTATGTATGCAGAGTGACTGGTGAATTTCCTGAAGAGATGATTACTTGTGAAGAGCCGATACTGGTTGTTTCATATAAGATTGGTGTATGCCGTGTTGATCCGAAAGGGAAACCTTGCAAAACTGTCTTTGAACGTCTCAGTTACAATGGCAAGACTAGTGTAGTGAAATGCTTCCCTTACACGGGTCGTACTCATCAAATTAGAGTCCACTTGCAGTATTTGGGGCACCCTATTGTTAATGATCCAGTCTACAACACTGAAGCCTGGGGTACCAACAGGGGAAAGAGAGGGGAGATCAACAAAACAAACGAGGAGCTGCTACAGTCTTTAATAGAGGAGCATACAGCAAAACAGAGCCTGGATATTCTGGATATTACAGAAGAGGATCTTCCTATAGCTATGAAAAAAAAGGAAAGTGAGGGATGTGAACAGTGCCCTGTTTCAAGTGAACCTGTATCATCTGAGAGCGATCAGTTGGGTACCAAAACAGACAAGGACATTGAAGCTAGTGTTAATGTGACATGTGATGTCCTAACAGAGGGTCCGACACAAGACACTGATGGAAATGTCAGCAGTGGTGTTCCTGAAGAAAGCAGACATGATTTAATAGATCCACTCTGCGGAGAATGTAAGATTGTGAGGTCTGACCCATCTCCAAAAGATCTTGTCATGTATCTTCATGCTTTGCGGTATAAAGGTGAAGATTTTGACTTTTCTTCTGAATTACCGGAATGGGCAAAAGATGACTGGGTGGAAGGTTGATCTGAAAACAAGTTACAAATGTTTATCATTTACTTGGTGTAAAATAAAATGTTTTATTTTTTTTTATCATACATTTATAACAGCCTTTTATAAACAAAACACAGATGTTGAATTAGTTTTTGGATCCCCCCCCCATTTATAGCCAGTGTGGTTGTAAATGGGTCATTAAGTTGCACCTGACTCGAAAGCACGGTATTGTGATACGGGGTGTGGGAAGTGCATATGGGGTGCCATTCAAATTAATGGCAACGCACCTCCCACACTAGAACGCGCAGCTGGTGTAATTGTGTTGTGCAGTGTGTTAATCGCATGGCACTGTGTGGTTAACGCACTGTACTAGTATGAATGGACCTTCAAAACGACTGACACACACGTTCCAAAAAAAAATTTAAATTTTTTATTTTTTTTTTAGATCCACCCAGTCTCCAGAACTGGAGTTGACCCTCAACCCCCTATCCATATGTGCATTGCTTGTACAGCTCCCCAGAACGCCCTGTAAAGGTGCTGGGAGCAAGAATTTCATGTCACTCTGGTCCTGGCACCTCTACAAGGCACATGAGGGAGCTGTAAGCAATGTATGGATGGATGGAGCTCCCACGCAGCTAGGAATGCACCAATGGCAAGTACTTGTACTTGCCCAAATGCTCCCGATGCCTGTCCTGATACTGGAACTTCCGGTATCAGGAAGGCGGGCGGTGAGACATTACATGCTGCTTGGCTTCCAGATTTGCCGGGAAGCCAGCTCCAGCTGAATGATTTACACCCCCCACGGCTTCCTTATTGGTCGGGAAGCTGGCCTATCAGGATGCCAGGCGGTGAGTCATTACCCGCTTCCTGATGGGCCAGAAAGCCAACTCCATGCTTCCTCGTCAACTGATGACGAGGAGCATAGAGACGGCTAAGCGTGAAAGCTTCCTTAATGGGACCTCTGGTATCAGCGAGTACCAAAAAAAATGTATCGGTACGTGGTGCATCCTATTTTGAATGGCTGCTTTGCGTGAAATCTGACAGTGCTGTGCAAGCGGGAGGCTGAGTAGCCTCTCGTCTACTTCAGCGGAAGGCATGCAGTGATCCACCAGTTGAGAACCATGGTTTAAAGGTGAAGGAGTTAAGAACCCATTTGGTCTGGTATAGATTAAGGCAGCTAACAATCTTGGAATGATATCCACTCTTTATACTTGCAGTAACTGTAATGAAATAGTATGGTGCTGCCATTTTCTGCCCTCCTATGAAAATGTTAGTTGCTTGGCTGTTTCTGGCACCAGTACTTTTGAGTTACAGACCTGCAACAGGCACACTGTACAAAGTCAGAATTCCTCATCTCTAAACTTGTTCTGGATCAGAGACTTAAATCATTGAAGCCAAAGCATCAGGATGGTTGTTAGGGAGCTGGGATTCTTAAAGGAGAGGTCAATGGTAGCAGCCCCCATACGTTTCTCTTGCTATATTCAATTTAAAGTACAGAAACTATCATTAAAAAAAAAAAAAAGTAGACTTGTTCCATTAAAATCCATGTTGTATCCTAATTCTTGAAAGCAAGCCAGCTGTCTCAGATGTAGATGTAATGCAAGCTCTTCAATGAGTTGCATTTTCTCTGCCCTCATCACCCACTCTCCAATCGAGGTAGATAAGAAGGTCTTGTGCAATATTATGATTTCACACTTTTGGCAGCATTTAGCATATGTAGTACAACGGAGTGTTCATTACAAGTGGAGTGAGATAAGCAATAAATAAACCAAGGAACATTTGGGAACGCACCTGGAATTGTTTTAAGAATCTCTGTCCACTAGTGTTGCATTAACAGAGAGGTCCACCAAAAATGGAAGAATGAATCCGGGAGCGCATACAGGAGGGGGGAGTGTACACGGCATGGGACATGTGCTGCAAGCAGTGTACACACATAATTGCTTAGAACCAGGATAAAAGAGTTTTTTGGCAGCAAAGACTGCAAGTCTCATCGGTCAAAACAGTCTTTCTCTTTGCAATTTTTAAATTCTGGACTTTTTTCCGTTTTCAAGTGGGACTAGACTACTGAACTTTTCCCATAATGTGCAAGTGTGCACAGGGGTGTGGAAAAAAAACTACTTGCTAAAGTGGGGGCCCAATCTACTCATCCCTCATGACAATCTGCTTGTTTCGATACCAAAAAATAGTTTTAATCAAAACCGTATTTATCCGTGCTAAATCTAACTATTCTGACCAAGTGCTCACACATTGCGAGCAAAATTCAAAATGCATTGTGCAGGGTTGCACTGGACAGCAGTACAGTCCATAATATCGATGAGTGCTTATGATTGTACACCCGTACCGGCAGAGGGAAAGGACTGTTCGCTGAAAGGTAAGTATAGCGGGGGGGGGTATTGTTGGGGGATGGTTTGGAGAGACAGGACCAGATTTGAGCGGGTAATTCCATTTGCCCAAATTGCCTGGGAAAGTGAACTTATACTGCACATTGTGCGTGTAAGAGAGTTCTGCTGCCTGGCTACCACAGTGTGGCCCACAGTGGAATGGCAGCAGCACTCGGCGCACACACAATGTCCTATGCATGCATTTATTTGCATGCAGGTGGTGGGGGTGGCAGGGTTGGTTTTATTTTTATATATTTTTTTTTTTTTTTTAATTTCCACTTAATTTTATTCCTATTACATGTGATAGTTTGGAGTTGGCCGGTTCTCTTTATGGAACCTGCCCTCCAACACAGAACAGATCTTCTGTGCAGTTTCTGACAGCTGAGACAGGTGGCGCTGTGATTGCAACACTCCGATCTCACTGATCGGAGAGCGGACGTTCTTCGCTCTGCTCCCCGCTCTCCACCCTGAGCTCATTTGCCGTGGTCCCGGGTCCCCCACAAAACATCTGAGATCACTTGTACAAAATGAGTGGCTGCTCCCCTGATCTATATTTAGCTCTGCTAGCCCGCAGCAGCGCTGAATGTAGAAAATAACTACCCACCCGGCGCCCAGAACTGCATGTCCCTGGCGATACGAATTCCACATCCCTGGTGTATAGCATATTTGCACATTATGGTAAGCTCTCCAGCAATGCAACAGCCATGATCTCCCTTGTTTCCTATTTGCCAAATAATCATCTGCGGCTCATTATAGACTAAAAAACAAAATGCTGGCAGGCAGGTAGAAATTGCCATAAATCCCTTTAATTAACCACTTCAGTACCGCCATGTTACACCGCCTTCATTTCAGATTTCAGCGCCGTTCAAGTTTGGCTTTGAATTCCTGTCACACAAAACTAAAAATGTATTTGATATCATTTTATTCGGACAAATAGAGCTTTCTTTTAGTGGTATTTAATCATAATTAAAAAAAATGTTACTATAAACATGTTACTATATAAAGTAAAAAAGACCGAAAAAAAGCCTTTTTCTCTTACTTTCATTTTTTAATCAAAGCAAATATAAATGTCAGGACAATACGCAAATCCCCGAAAATACCCCTTTTGCAAAGCTTCTAGTGACATGCCGTGACATTTTTCAATAAACATATCTAAGAGATATTGAATTCATCTGTGTGTGTGCCGGTGACCTGTTGAGATTACCCTTTTGGAAAGTAGACGCTCCAAGGTAATCCGATTCTTGGGACAGTTTTTTGGGACTGAAGAAACATGCTGCTGTGAAGGGGGATGAAACACGGAGCTTGGTAATAATGCACAATGGTGCCTAATC